TTTTTTTTTAAATTTTTAATGCTTTCCCGCATCTATCGTTTTCCCGCATTCATCGTTTTTATTTCCCACCCCCGCCGAAAACGATGCATCGAGGTTTCACTGTACATGAAAAGTAAGCAAATAAAAACAGCAAGTAACACAGATGATAAAGAAGGTGAATCATGTCTGATAAATGAAGCAACAACAAATTAAATGAATAACACAATATTACTCACACCCATTCATGGCATGTTTTCTGCCTTACGCCGAAAACAAAACTTACATTTCAATCTTTTGTAAATGAGGAATGGCTTTATTACAGCGCCTGATTTGGTCTGCGATGCCTTAAAAGTCTTGTTCATCGCACAAATGATGCAGTCTCCATTCATCACCCCATCTGTAAAAATAAATGACATTATTACATTACAAAGGACAGATACAACTCATAACTATGAAAGTATACTGCATTCAATGCAAACATACTAACTCCATAAAGCTGTATCCTTATTGCGAAGCTAACAATAACTGAGTCAGATGACTCCAGTCCACATCTTTAAGATCTATATTGATGCTGTCCTCCCACCTACACCTACATGCTCTACCAATCGTGTATGATCTGAAGCTTTCACAGCGACCAAGTACAATAAATTCTTCTAGGCCTACCAGCCATGTGAGGTGGCTTAATGAAGCGTTTCGAGATGGTGTTTTCTTAATTAAGCCACCTTACACGGCTGGTAGCCCGAGAACAATTTATTCCTAATGATATATGATGAAGTGTACTGTCTGAAACTCCTAGTTATGTAATTTTTAAGAATTCTTTATTACTCTCACTTAGGTACAACTATTCTCCTCTGTACCCCATTCTCAGACACATTCTACATTCTTCCCTTGGAGTGAGAGACAAACTTTCACACTCATACAGAACAATATGCAAGATATATACATTTAATATATTTTAAAATGACTAGTAGCAAGCATTCCCTATATGCAATCTGCTCTTAAATTATACTTTGTAATTCTGACTTGTTACTGTTATTCCCAATTTAGATAGAATTTTGCCACAGTTCTGAAAAACTTATTACCTGTGTTTATATTATAAATTTGTCCTGCAATCTGGTGATAAGACATGAACACATACTTCATTTCCTTCACATTTCCTTCTAAACCAGCTTCTCAACTAGTGACTATTCTTTATAACAGTTGTATTTTTACCAAACAAATTAACAGCAGTACCATAAATCAGGCACTGATATGTATCATTAAATTCCAATCACTCTTTGTTTACTTGGCCCTTCAAAATGTTGCATTCTAGAGCAAAGCTGACAACTTGCCTTAATTTAAAACCAAGGATAATTTCACCTTCATATACTTTTACCAACATCAGGATCTCACACAAAATGTGGATTTTGATAAATGAAATGGAGACAAATATTTGCGCACAAGATATACTCCTATTTTCACGACATCTGCATGAAAACACAAGATTAAATTACAACAGAACATGCCTTCAACCTGCTGTATGAGATAAAATACTCACTGGTAACTGTGCAGTTGTTTAGATGGCTGCTTTCACTCTGTAACCAGTTGACAAAAGCTGGCACATGGAACAGGGCCTGAAATCAAGTAGAAACAGACCCTGACATAAACCAACACAAAATTCCTATTGCTGAGCCTGGAATTCATACAGTAAATAATTCAACCAATCAAATAACCGTGGTATTTTTAACTGAAATATCCAGTGGCTATGATTTTCAATGTATCACATGGTACACTGCATTAACTGATATAGTAACAGTAGTCTCTTCCTGGCTCCCAACAGAAAGTGAATAAGTCACTGCACAGTGCTAACAGCAACTGCCACTAAAATTATTCACACAACAGTGCTGCTGCATCTGTGTTTGTAAGTTTGTATATGGGCACCAAAGCAACCACAGCACTACAGCCATTAGCTGATCTTTTTTGCATCCCCATTCTTCTGATCTGTCGGTTGTCCTGTGCTTATACAATGCACAGTATCTTAAATCTTATGAAAATTGCCTGTTTCCAGAAAATATCTGCCCAAATGGCAAATTCGTAAATCTGGTGGCAACAGCCAAGGCTTCCCTATAGATACCACATTTCATATAGTCCCTGGGTATTTGTAGAGGATTAATCTCAAACCTGGGACTTTAAGCATCATGGTCAGGGCCTTCCTAGGCTTAGGTAGTGTCATGTACCCCAACTGCCATAAGACCCTATTTCAGTTCTTCCCAGTTTTAAGCTTCCTTCTGGCATCTGTCAATGGAACAGTTTGTGTTCTCAGCATTCTTGGATTGGCTGATACACAACTGTTTCAAACATCACGTTAGGTGCTGAATACGGCTCTGTGTGTGTGGATATGGTGCAATATGCTGCTAAACAGCATGTTTTTCTGTATTAATCGTATGTGAAATGTGATTATGATAGAAAATGTCAAGGGCAGTGATGCATGCAGTTCTGACCGTGAGCCAGATAACCATGTCAGCAAACACACTAAAAAGCTGAGAGGAAAATTTTTCAATCAGTCTATCCTCCAACAGTTTTAAGTATATCACTTCTGTTCTTGTCCTGTCTATACCTTTCTCACTTGATCTAACCACAATCTTATCTAACTTCCTACAGGTCTTTTTGACTTAAATTCCATTCCCAATTTGGGTATGAGCCTAAAAATATAACTGTAATTACTTCAAACCAATCTACACATTGAGCTACTTTGTACTTTGAGACATACCTGCAATGTCGAAT